AGGGGCGAAAAACCATCGTCAAAGTAATTCACAAGGGAAAATGTGGACCAAAGGCAATTTTTAAGAAGAAATAAGGTTCAATGGTAAGATTAAATGTTGCCCTTTTGAACAATGAACGTTTAAATGTTGTACTTTATCTTTGTATTTTTGTTGATTGATCGGAAGTCTGTTCACAACTATATTATTCTTTAACATGACTTAGTTAGCAAATGTGTGCAAGACTGATAAACACACAGTTTTACTTATGTTTTAACTGAAGGAAGTGGAACAGAAATACATAGATATCTATATGATATGCCCTGATTTTATATTTTCAAATAACTAAATTTGTTAAAAAGCATTAAACTTTATACTATCACTTACTAATATCCGTTACATTTTATCTCAAGAGAGGGGCATTTAAGTTAATTTAATAAACTTACACATGGGTTTTTATTTCGGACACTTATACAGACAGTCCCAGTACTGCACCCGATCAAAGATTAGAATTAATTTCAACATTAAAGTATTCTACGTGACAATGACATAATTTAAAACACACACAAATTTTTTTAAATGTATGAATGAAAAAAAAAGCAATGTCAATCACATTATGTTTAAGGATAGCACAACATATGAGTCGTTATGACTTATTTCCATTGTAGTCAAACAATGAGTTCATCCAGTAATTGTTACAATAGATATAGTGTAATATCAAGTTTTGTTTGTTTGTTTGTTTCATTTTACGCTTTTTCCCAACAGTATCTCAGTCATATAGGCGGGTAGTTCCCTAACCATCGTTCCTGGAGAGTTACACCAGTACTAGACTACCTTCCTCCGCGCTAAACTACCAAAGCATCTCCCGATCGAAGCCACGCAAGAGAGGTAACTAATAATATCAAGTGTTATGATATACTAGTATATATAGAAACGTTTAAATCACTACCTGATTAAATTTTCCCCGGAAGTAATTCAAATATAATATCACCGTTTATTCGTGCTTTTATATATCTAGGGACTTTTTTCTTCATAATTAAAAAAAATACCAAAGCAATATTGTAGCATTTAAAAAATAAATTTGAGATATAATCAATTTAAGCAAAATTTATAAAGAATATTCACGTGAGTTGTTTTGCGATTAAACGTTTAAACAGTACACGTCAGAACAGGTTTGTTTTAAAAAACTTACATATTGAATAATGCTGGTACTAAACTGCCGTTCGTTTTAATTTATTTTAGTTTATTGTTGCGTGTTGCGTATGAAAATTTAGAAAAAAAACTCTTTTTTGTTTTTCATTTCTAAGGCGTTTTTTCCCTATAATAAATAAAATACCCAAACGATTAAAAGCTTGAGTGGGAATATTAAATTTTAAGAATTTTTATTAAATTCCTGAGTTGTTTTGCAATTATTCGTTTACATGAAGAAAACTTTGGTAGTTTTACAAAATCTTTGCACCGAAAATTTAAACGCATAAGGGAAATTCCTTTCTTTATAAAATGTTTTAAAGCAAACAAAAAAAAACTTTGATTTACAGATACGGTACAAAAACGCTAACTCAGCGCACAGGCGGCAGTATCAGTGTTTGGACACCCCACCCCTATCTGCCCCTGGACCCCTTCTACAATCCTGAAAAAAAATTCAACACTCTAAGGCTTACTATAAGAATTCAAGAATTCCACAGCTTACTTAATTCAAGTCCAATGAATATCAATATTCTATCGATTTTTTCTATTTCACGGTAATTTTTGACTTGTCGTTGCCATTTTGGATTCTGATACCTGTGTGTTATACGCGATCTGATTGGACGTCCAATTTGGCTCGTCCAATCAGATCGCGTATTTCAACCCAGGTATCAGACTGCAAAATGGCTACGACAATTCAAAAAACATACCGTGAAACAGAAAAAATCGGAATGATAGTGATATTCGTTGGACTTGAATTACATAAACTGAGGAATTCTAGTTCTTTTTATTAATGTTAATGATGATGCAGCGAAATCCCGCCGGAATGCGCCTCAGTCGCCGAAACGACGATTTCCCGTGTTCCACATTGTTTGGCAAATGGACATATAGTAGGCTTTACACCTTTCTATAACTATAATTTTGATAGTGGAAATTTTTTTTTATATATAATTTCACCGGTGGTTTTGTATTTGGTACATTATAGTAAGCCTTAGAGTGTTGAATTTTTTTCAGGGTTGTAGTAGGGGTCCAGGGGCAGATAGGGGTGGGGTGTCCAAACACTGATACTGCCACCTGTGACTCAGCGTAGATTAGTGTTCCCTTAAACACAAATGATATTTTCAAATCAATATCATTTAAAATGCTGTCATCTTCAAAATAACATTAAATTCCTTAATGTGTTTGTGAAATGTAAATTAAAATGTTCAAACGAAAATGTATATTCGGACCGAAAGCGGGTTGCAAAATTATTGTAAATATTGAATAACCGTGGAACACATTTGAACTTCTAAAATTGCTAAAAAATAACCGCGATAAAATAACTTAGACGCAACTGTACATAAACATAAACATTATAGTACATTATATTTGAAAAAGATGAAGAAAAGAAAACCAATTGACCAATCGACCAATATCAATTAAATTCTGTTATTGCAGTTTTCGTTTGTCACTTAATAATTGTATTTTTATTAAAAGTCAAGCTTATAGACAATTCTGGACTTTCCATTACCGAATCTAAAAATAGACGCTAATGATAAATATACAGGTCAGAAGACGTCATTTAGCAAGCATTTCGAGAATCATACAAGTTTCGAAAAGTATATACGTGTAAAGATATTAATAAAGTTATATTATAATTAATTAGTTTGTAACCTACCTTATTCAATTATCAAATTACGAAATTACGAACTTTTCTGCAAATAAAATGTGCTATTTAAGATGGATGCATATTAAATTAAGTAAGCGTGTAACATAGTAACTTAAAAATACATTTTATGTTCAATAATTTAGCAAACGTAAATGTCGTGTTTTGTAAACACACGTGTTGTTTCAGTAAGAAAGTTCTTGACTAAAAAATAAATACACGTGATACCAACAGATTTATAAATAAACGGTGACTCATCCAAATGGTATAAATAGTGTGTCCTAGATAACGGTGAACATTCGTTAATATGCAACACGTGTGATTACATGTTAAAGGTAAAAAGCTTTCAAATTCATTTCTAACTTTTATTTTAACAATAATTATGACTGTTATTTAGAAGGTAATAAAATTTCCATTAACATTTTTCAATATACACACGTATATTATTTTATCTAAAATGAATAAATAGTAGAAATTTAGGCCTAAATGAATGTCGTGATTTGTAATGAAGGCGTTTGTATATTTCATCATTTTTTGGTATAGTGCTTGTAAGTCGGGAGTATTGAAACAAATTTGTCTAGAGCGGTGCAACCCCATTTAGTGGTTAGCAAATTATGTTAGTACAAGTATGATACCTAATATAATTAATAACATATTGGTCTCAATATAATTGATTAAAACTGGAACGACATCATTGAACAAAATATCATTTCAACCTCATATTAATTGTTGTAACGTTTGTGTTATCAAAGTGAATAGTAGTATACTTAGTTAACCAGTATGTGTGTGAGTAATGTTCAGTTTTGAAATCGATATTGGTAATTGGTTATCATGTTATTTCATGTGAAAATATTATGCATATTTCCTTGTTTATAAATATCTCATTCCTACAAACATGTGACATAACAAATGATAATAAAAACAACATTTTAAAAATGTTTTATTCTTATCAAATAACGAACAATGTCGTTATCACGCGACTGTGTAGGTACTAATCGCATTGGTAGCACGTGTATATTATAATATCATATTACTATAATGTAATTTCGTTCATTTGAATATCGATTAATTTTCTCTAATAGTAAAAATGGTATCCAGGATTATACTATATGTTTATCTCTAATAGCAGTACAGATAGACAGATGAATATGCTTATATACATTTCGATTACTCTTCTGAGTGATTTTAGAAATATAATCAATTTACATTTATGTTTTAATGTAGTCTTTATGTCTTAATTATTTCAGACAGTCAACATGACTATGATGAATGAAGACGAAGTTCCTAACAGCAGATATAGTGACCCCAACACACATTTTGTTCAACAAAATCGGTTTTTACCAGACGTTGTTCACTGTACAATGAAAATGGACAGTTTAAATCAGGTAAATTATAACACTGATCATGGTAGATGCGTTATGACAGAAACCACTGCATACGGTACAGAGCAATATCTTGATACTGCACCAGTGTTTTCTGGAGTAAATAAAAAGATGAGTTATAGGGAGAGCCAAAGAGATATCAACGATTTATGTGAACAACTTGATTCTGTAGAAATGATTGGTGATTGTTCGATGAAACGTTTCAACGAACTAGAATCATTTCAAGGAAATCATGGAGGCCATATGGCAGCAAACATTGACGCTTCTAGAATATATTTAAGGGATAAAGATGGAGATACCCTCTTACATACAGCCATTATATTACGTGAGGTAACATTAGCAATGGTGTTTATTGGTAAAGCACCATCAAACACCCTGGTTGTCTTTTACAAACGTTTTATTTCAAACACCTCTACATCTTTTCAGTATTAACTAATCAGCCAGAAGTCACTAGAAGATTAATTGTGGCTGGTGCTGAAGTAGATAAACGCGATAAAGACGGAATATACATCTTTGCACATTGCATGTCGCCAAGGACAACACAAAAATGTGCAAAATATTCTTGAGCCTGTCAGATATCATGAAATCAAACAGAATTCTTATGATATACCAAACCAAACAATTCCACAGGATTTATCCATAAAGAACTATGAGGGAATAACTTGCCTTCATTTAGCTGCATCACACGGACATTTAGATATAGTTAGTATGTTACTGGACAAAGACATAGACGTTAACCTCAAGGAAGGAAAAACAGGTCGGACAATACTACACAATGCTTGCCTTACTGGTGATTTAAATCTAGTCAAATTACTGTTAAGGCATCGTTCCTGTAATATAAATGCAAGGGCCTTTGATGGGATCACACCATTTGACCTTGCACGCATTCGAGGTCATGAAGACATTTGCCTGGTCCTTGCTGCTGCAGGGGCAGGATATGGAGAAGATTTAACAGACTCTGATTAAAACGTATTATAAAAGACTGCAAGTCCTTTTACATTAACATGTGCTGTTCCGATTCAGGGGGAAAAATATTTAATGTCTGACATTTATCTCAATCAGGGAAGGATTTTAGACAACAATGTTCATACTTATCATTATGATTCCACAAACAGTAAACTGAAGTTGCAATATATTTATATAAATCCTAGTCGTGTACTTATCATATGTTAGTGATATTCTAAATACCTCATAGTTGTTATAAATACAAATGTTTTATATTAATTATCCACAGATAACTGCTCAATTAATTTTTAATGTAAATTTGATAGAAATTTTTACCCCATGTGTATTAGGATACATAATAAATTTTGTTTTTATGCCATCTTTTTAAAACCATAATTATGATTCTTTCTTGGAAACTTCCATATATTTTTATGTTTATAATAGTCTTTGTTTAATCTTGTTTACTTTTTGTTATATTGCACCATTTGTATAGGATATTTTTTGTTAAAGGGCAATATATATTGTATATACAGTGTATACATGTTTAGTCATATTCATTTTAAAAATTATTTTTCAGTTTGTCGAAATTCATTAAATAAAATTAACACAAGTGTCTTTCCCTATCTAAATTCATTTTATTTTTTAATATTTCTTACATTTCGCAATAAAGTATTTTAAAACATGCACATTATTTCCAAAAAAAAATACTAAGCGTTAGTATACACTATGTTAATAAGACGTTAATAATACAATATTATTTTTCCTATGATTTTATTGCCATTGAACAAAAATCTGATATACAATCTATCATAAATATTTTTGTAAAAATTATAGATGTTGAATTTGTCAAATAAAATTGTTTTAAGTGCCCATCCCCCTTGTTCGTCAAAATATTTTGAAATTTCTTTGTATTAATTGTTAGATGTAATTTTTGAGTTTTTTACATTACTTATGTTTTGGGCTTTAAAAAATTTACTATTGAAAAGATTTTAAATTTTCCCAAAACCCTAGCCAGCATGTTTTTTTTTTTATTTTTAAAAATCAATACATTTTAAATGAAAGATAATTGGGGGTTTTTTTTTAAAAAAATCCCAAAACAGCCTTTTATTACAATAAATTTTAAAAAAACAACCCAGTTTTGTTTTTAATTTGCGAATAAAATTTTATCTCTAGTACCAAAAAATCGACCTTTCCTTTTAACCAACCCAAATTTCTTAAAATAAACATAACCCCGGGGTAATAAAAAAATATTTTATAAAAATGCATAGGGAAGCTACAAAATGTTAGGTGGTATGAGTGCCGTCGGCGGTTCATTGGTCTTAAATTTTGAAGCAATCAAATTAATTTTGGGACTGAAAACTAATAAATCTAGATTGATTGATACATACCAAATAAATTTTTCTTTATCACATTAAATAATTCATTAACTTGGACATTTTTTCTCCGGCTTCTATAAATTTTGTTGAAGTTACGTACTGTACCTTAAAAAATGCCTTTCTTCATTGGTTTTCAGAATCACTATTATTTGTTACAACAAATGTCATACATTATTTAATGTTAAACAGGATGAAGTGTATAACGTGCTTCGATAAATGATTAATTTTACTCGACCAATTCACATCAATTTTTCTATATGAATAATTGCAATTCATTGTTTTTATGCTGTAAAATTCATTTTTACGGCGAAATACAAATGATATAACAAAATTAAAATTTTAACACCTAAAATTAATTAAAATTCCGGGAAATAGCCGGGGATTTTTTAATAAAATTTATTTTAAAGTGTCAAAATACAACAAACAATGCATAAAATTTTAAAAACATATATATATAAAAAAAGGCGCCCTTTCCTGTATTTAAAAAAAAAAAAGGGGCTTTACAAATTTTTATGGGGTTTAATTAAATTTTTTTTACATATGGGTTTTTAACACTTAAAATATTTTTACTTTACATTACAGGGAAACACCCTTAAATTATTGTTTTTAAACCTTTAAAAAAAAGCACTTTTAACAAATTACAATAAAAATTTGAAAATTTTAAAATCTTAAAAGTCCTATTGCCCCATTGATTTTGCTAAAAATTTTGTTAAAAAAAAAATTTTTTCCCCTCTAAAAAATTAAAACGGGAAAATTTTTATCTTTAAAACAAGTATCCAAAAACCAAAAATTTAAAATTGAATTTCATTCTCTTTTTTTTTGTTTTGTTTTGTTTCGTTTTTAAGTAAAAATACAAATAAATGTTTGGTAATATACACACAGATAAATAAGTCGTCCTATGTATAACTGAAATTTTTAGAATTATTCATTATATCTTAGATTAAACGTTCGTTAAAAGCTAAATATTTAAAATTTTATTATTACTTATTAATGAATATTGGGAAATATTGATGACATTTTAAAACGCGTATTTTCATTTTCACTGTCCAAATTGCTTTTCATTGCATACAACATTTTTCTTTTCTCTATTCTTTTTTGTCAATGGACTAATTTCTTTAAAGTCAGCCAAATACTAAATTGAAGGGGAAGCCTTCAAATGGAATCAAAATGGTATTATAATAAACAGAAAATTCAAGGTTTCCTTTTATTAAATACAGGACTTATTTTTTCATTTTTGAGGTAGACAATTATTTCACTCGAGGCTTCCGCCACCCATGAAATTAAAGCCATTTTCCTTCCACTCGGCAAAAATAAATCTTGTTATGTTGTAATTACAGCGAAACCTTATGACTTGCTCTATGAAATCTATCTGAAAAATAAAATACTTTACTAAGCATTAAACAATTAACCCCTAATGTTCTAGTTTAGAAGATTCTTTTTAAATTTAGATTCCATTTACTAAACATGAGCCACTAACATTGTAAGTATTAAATTTGAATTTTTAAAGCTTTTACATTTGAAGGGGGAGTTTTATAAGGTTGTCAGATATATTTTTGTAGTTTTTTGAGTATTAATGTTGTTGTTTACACAGACACTAAAATTATACCAATATACATAACATCATAAATCACTGATAAAAATATTACATTATATTATATAAAACAGACAAATACAATTGGTTTGTAGACCATATTGCTTCAAAAATAAGCTGCCACATAAGTTACTATATTTTTTTTGAAATGGAACCTCAAAACAGGTCATTTCATAAAATACTGTACTTAGCATGTATGTTTAAAAGTATAAAGAAATAGTCTGACTAAGTTTAGCTTCAATAATTCAATTTACTTTTTATATCACTGTTTTTTTTAAACATCCTTACAAAATGCCTCTGTCGTTCATTTGAGTGCCAACACATGATGTTGCCATGTAAGATGTCAAAAAAAGGATCAATTTATTATTGTTTGACATATTCATTAAAATTGAAGAATTTTCTCTTACTGTCTCATAAGCGTTACAATGCAGCAAAAATGTTACTTTGTACTGCATTATGACCTAAATTTGGCACACACGTGATGTCACCAAAAAATTTTTTTCGTAGTAAGTGCAATTCAAATAATTGCCAAAAATAATATAAATGTACGTTTTTTGATTTGTAATGAAATATGTCTGGGAAAAAAAAATGTTAATATAGTTCAATGTGATTTAGCATGAACATAACACGTGTATATAATAAAAATAATCCTTTTGTAACTAGAATACTTTATTATGAAGCTATATATAGATATGGCAAATCATATCATGTATCTATCACTCATTTCCTATTGTTTCGTGGTTTGTTACCGAATTTCTGAATTATATCAAATATTTTAATATTATTGATGATACTACAGATCTGCTATTTACAGACAAATTCACTTGAGGACACAAAAATATTTGTGTTTCATTGTATCTGAATAGTTTTATTATTAGTAAATAACACCTTGTATTTTTAGCCATACAGTATTCGTATATTTAAATATCTGGTCAGAATTTAGAACATGGTAATAAAAAAAATGTAAATAATAAAGCTAAAGTAATGAAAGCCAAACAGTAAAGAGCGCTAGAAGTTTAAAATGGGAAATGATTATATATTGAAGAAGCTGTTGGGTTACACATTATTTTATAACAAAGTGTATGGTAACACATTATTTTATAACTATTTTGTTTTATATAAATCATTTTGACAAAGTTTCCATAACATACGTATATTTAAAAACAAATTGGGGGCGGGGACCAAAACAACGTTTAAAGTAAACAACGGGTTTTCATTACTTTCTTTTCCCAAAAAAAGGTGATTGGGGGCGAAACGTAATAGCGTCCTTTTATATATATTACCCAAAAAACTTTTTTAAGCAAAAAAAACTTTTTTAATGACTTTATTCCGCGTAAATACTTTTTGGAGTTTTTCTTATCGATAATAACTAAAAAATCTTGGATTTTAGTTTTTTATAATTTGAAGTTTTTGTACATATTTTGGGAAAATGTGGGCCAAAAAATTGTCTATAAACTCTTCTGGTCCCCATTAAAAAATTAATTAAAATAAATTTTGTTAACCAAATAATATATGTACTAGAAAAGAAACTAAAAACTGACACTTCCAGGTCCGATTTATAAATTATCTCTCTTTTCCAATTTCTATTCAATTTCATTGTCTGGATCATTAAAGGAATTTATTAATGCAAGGAATAGAATTGGAAACTTTGAGCATAGATACAGTTCACAGAAAGTACAGAACAGAAAGTAGATGTAAAAAATGTCAAATGAAGTGTCAACGCACCCTAATATCATTTTACGCTGTATTTTCTTTTTGCAATATTTTTGTATGCAGCGTAACGAACACTAAAGGAATAGACTTAAAACACAGATAAGGGGACACTAATGATAAAAAAATTTAAGTCTACATATACCTAGCCCAAAAGTTGGTTTAATGAATTTTATTTTGTCTGGGTCATATTCTACGTGAAATTTAAGGAATATTATTCATGAACTTTCAAATTTGGGCGTTAAGATCTATTCCAGTTATTTTAAGCAGAAACAAAGTATTGAATAAACAAAATGCCACTTTTGAAATCAGGAATATATTTGTTAGAAAAAGGAATTAAAATGACTTTCCCCATAGGTTCATCACATTTTAATATTTAATGTTTTTTCGTAAATTAGACTTGAAATCCCCTATTAAAGGGACAAAAAAATTTTAAAGAAAAACCGAATGTTCATAAGGTCAATATCTGGGGATAAAACCTGTAATTTTAAAATTTTTCGCCAAAATTTTGCATATCCTTTTTTAAAAATTTTTCGAAATCAAAAAAAAAAACTTTAAATACCAAAGGGGTTAAAAATTTTCACATGGCAAATTTCCCCACTAAATCCCGATTTTTGGTATTTATAGA